TTCACTATTAAAACTAAAAAGAATAAAAGCAACTTCACTTTGAAAACAAAAAAGAATAAAATTATCCTAGCCCATAAATTAATTCCCAGCTCAAAAGCAAATTCATGGTGAAAAATTTTAAAAAAAAGTAAAATTTGTCGAGCCCAAATATTAATTTTATCCCAATTAATTTTATTTACAACCTAAGTGTAAAATTGAAATGATACACAATTAACCAAATATTTAAACTAAATTAACCAAATATTTTTTTTTAAAAAATTGCTTTTGGGTTGGGGTAGCGCTGGGCTATAGCCCACCCCTCCCTCCGCCCAGTGTATACATATATGAAGAGAGAGTAAAAAATACCTTAGATTTTATGTTGTCATCCGCGTCAGCCTCAGCTTCGGCATCAAAATCGGCATCCAAGAATGCTTCATCACGTACTTCGTCGCCATACACATCATCATCTTGTTCGATGTGCCCCTTTTGCTCTATCTCTATCTATGTTTCTTCTTTCTACAGCTCTTTATATACAATTTATGTATGTAGTTGTGTATAGATGAGTGTACAATGAATGCTAGATTTGTCAGAATTATGGGATTCTACAAATTTTGCTGCGGTAGTTGTGAAGCCAAAAAGGACAAAATGGGGTTAAATGGGTTCGCGGTCAAACAACAATACGAGGGTTTGAAGGGATGTCATGCGGTGGCAGAAGCAGCAGCGCCACCAAAGAGCTCAACAGTGTCTAGAAATCGAGAGTTGCTCTTAAACGGAAAGAGAAAGTGAAATGGAAAGTAAAAGTATAAGGGAAAAGATGTTATGACTACTTTATGGGAACTGAATAATGAACAATACAAAACTGGATGAGTGTGAAAACAATGGTGCACAGACGAATAGTGAATGCACTATCCTCTCTTTTAGGGTGTTTTAAGTCACGTTATTTCGAAAAAATGTATTTTAGAACGGAAAATTGATGGAGAATGTGTAGTTGAAAAAGAAGGAAAAGTTATTAATGTGATGGAAAATATTATTTTATTGAAAAATGTATGATTAAAAGTAAGTAGAAGAATGAATATGAAAATTTTGATGTGTCTCAAACATGGGCTTAATAGAAAAAAATAGTGACAATGAGAGTGATAGTGATAGTGATAGTGATAGTGAGATAGTGATTTTTATTTTTATTTTTCATTGTTTAATTGTTTTTTTAAAACTTTTATTTAAAAAGAAGTGCAAATTTAATTCGTCATTTATGGTCAAAATGAAGGGAATTGTAACGTAATTGAAAAGTTGTGATGTCTTATATTAAAGAAAAATGCTAGTCATAAATTTATTGCATTTCGTAAAGATTAAGAATGAATAGTGCAAATATCTCAAAAAAAGCTTAAGTGATGTTAAAAAGAATAGTTTTGATACACTTTCATCTTTGGTTAACCGTTTTGTTTATATTTCATGATGTGACACATAAATTTGTCATTGATTTCAACAATACATAGGGCTTGCTCTTTTCGTATTTCAACAATACATTGTTTGACAACCGTTGTTTGAGGAAAATAAGGGGTTGTTTTTTTTCGTATTTCAATTTTTAGTTTTGAATTTTGAATTCATTTTGAATTTTGTATTTTGAGTGTCCATTTTGAGATGGTTGAAAACACATTCTTTTATGTCATTTTGAAAAATTATTTTCAAAAATTAAAAAAATGAAAATTTGGCTTGATTTTATGACTTTTGTCAGTTTTGCTGAAAAAACTGCAAAACCCTTTTTTTTTTTTGTTAATTTTAAAATCGTTTTTGAAAATTCATTTCAAAAAATAGATAACTAAACACGTTTTCAGTGTTTTCAAAAATTGAAAATGATTTGAAAATAGCAAAGAGAACATGATTTAAAGTTTTGAATACTGATTTTCAGGATAATGTGTAATTAAAAAGTATGAAAAAATTTTGAGTTTACGTGAAAAATATTTTAATGTGTGAATAAATAAATAAAAATAATAGTTGTTAGGGGCATATAATGAAAAATTATGCTTGGTGTACACATGTGAGGGAATGAACACGTACAAAAATTATGTAACCAAGCACGGTGCAAGCTTTTTCATATGGACCCCACAAATCCACCACCGGCCCGCAGCGCCGAAAAGCTCTCTTCGTTTCTTACGCCACTCCAGACCACCATTTTTTCTCGCACTTTCTTCATTTCATGTATCTCCTGTAAAACCCTAGAAAACAAAAAAAGAAAAAGAATAAAAGATCAAAATGGAGGAAAATGGAAGTAGTTACGATGATCGGCAGTTGAAAAAGTGTGTTGTGATCGGAGGTAGGAGATTCATAGGCCGATCGCTGGTGGAGAGGTTGCTCAAACTCGGTAATTGGATCGTCCGAGTTGCCGATTCGAATCCGTCACCTCAAATCCTCCCTTCTGAGTCAATCCTCTCTCGAGCCTTTTCCTCTGGCCGCGCCTCGTATTTCCACGTCGACCCTCTCAATAAGCCTCAAATCATCAAAGGTACGTATGATATCCTCCTCCATGGGATAAGTTAGATAAAATGAATAAGAACATATGAATTTGTATATCTGTTGTTATACTACGTGTTTTGTGCATCTGTTTGTTCATATTGGATGCTGGGGTGGTTCTTGAGAGCTTCAACCCCAGGCATGGTATACATTTATAATCACACTGTACAATTTTAATTTTTTTAATGCGATATCTTATGAGTAATAACACTTCTTGATGCACTTTTTAGAAATATAAATATTGATAATGTCATGCTGATTTTGACTGTTAATGTTACCTTCATCATGTGGGTAAATATGGTTCCCTAGATTTATGCCCAAAATTCACTTTACTCATGAGCCATTACTAATCAATTATGGGACAGTGATGAATAAATCTGTAATCTTTACATCAAGGAAGTCTATTCACCACCTTTTGCATCTCTATCTCCCTCCCTCCCTTTACAACCACACTTAGGGGTGGACATGGTTCCATTTGATTTTGGTTCAAAAAGAACCGAACTGAATGATGAATCAATGGTTTTTTTGATAATGGAACCAAATGGTTTTTTCGAAGATATGGAACCAAATCGAATTGAACCGTTCGGTTCTGGTTTGGTTCTAGTTTCATTTCTTAAATTTTCAGACTTGCACCGTATCTGTAAGTTTGTAATATATACCTAAATTCAAATTATCAATCATTAAGATTACAGAAGTCCAAACTAACAAATAAAATGTAGTCAAAATTTGAATACACAAATCAATTTTCATTCCTGTACAAAAAATTGTTTAACAAGTAATAGCAATGATTCACTAAATTAATTGCAGCAGTTTGAGAGCACACTTCCCCAATAAAAGATGAATTATGCAAAATTTTTACAGTTCACTTTTACGGACAACCATTAACCGTTTAATATTTCATGAATGTTTATTGAATTTTTCTCTATTTGTGAAATCACAAATAATTCATCAAACAATTAAGGTAAAAAAAATAATTTAAAGATTTTTTTAGTGGCTGACCAATTTCATTCTCAAATCTTGAAAGAGTTTCCTCCACTGACGTGATAAAATGCTGTGCTAGCGAGCTGCGGCGTTGTATAAATAAAAAATGAGTGAAGGAGAAATGATTCAAATTAATACAAAATTAGGGTGTACATAATTAATAAGCTGTCTCTAATAACCTAGAATCGATTAATGGGCTGTCTCCAATAAATACAAAATTAGGGCATCCACTAATTAGTATATATAAAAAATAAAATTAAACATAAAGTTTGGTTCTGGTTCTAGGTTCTAGAACAAGAACCGAACCAGAACCATAACCAAATGGTTCTTGGTTCAAATAACCAAAATCATAATTTTTTTTAGAATCAAACCTAACCACTCGGTTAGGTTTGGTTGGGACATTTTGTCCATGTCTAACTGCACTCGTTTCTATTGCACATAAGACACTAAATGTAAATAGTGCAAGTTGTAACTCTTCTCTATATGATCTTCTAGTTTGATACACATTGGTGATAATACTACACAATGGAATGCTGCATGATGACTAGAAAATAAGTTAGTTTTTATTCAATATTCGAAAGGCACAATGAAGCCCCAAAAATACTCCCCACTCTTCATTAAGGATCTACTGCAAAATTTCAACATAAACCCCTGTGAATGGTAATGAATAAGTACTTAGGTATACAATAAGCTATAAGTATTAAAATAAAAACCATAAAATTGAAAATGAGGTGTAAGCTAGTCTTCCATCCTAGCTTAGGTTCGTATGCTCCCCTACCACTTAATTTTGTGTTGAAAACTCTAATCATCCCTTGTCTTTCGCTGAACGGTCACATGCACACACGAATGAGGTCATGACTGCATTATTTTTGCCATGGCACAAAAGATTCTTCCTTGAATTGCTAGCCTCATTTTTTCTGTGACTCGTAATTTGTGATGACATTCATAACTACATCACGAATAATGAATGTTACCTTCTAACATGGTAGGTAGGAGTAGCATGATTAGGAATGCTTTGATTGGAAAATGTTTCATATATTTATTGGAGATGCTAATTAGGGGCCTTTCCATGATAGTATATTTAGTAGTTATGAGCCAGCATACTCCCTCATACTTGAAGCTTCACTTGCTGTTTGATTATTTCTCATTATAGTCAGTGGTAGATTGGTTAAATGGTAGATTGATTGTTTTAACCATGGTTTAAAAAGGTGGTTTTGAGGCGCGACTCACTATGAGGCGCATGTAATATGCCTCGAGGCGGTATTTTTTAGGTTAAAATTATGAGGTTCGTGCCTCTAAATTTGAGGCGCACGCCTTAACGTGCGCCTTACTACCGCCCTTTTAAGAAATTGAGAGTAGCAAAGGGAAGATGGGGAAATTAGATTTGATGATAATTCCATTAACGATGCTAGTAATAATGATGATAGTGCAGACTAATAGAGTTTTTTTAAAGTTTAAGCTGCTTCTTTTTTCTATTGCAAATAGAGTAATTTTTAACTTCCGTGATGCTTTTTTTTTGCTAAACATCTTCTTTCTTTGGGTGGACTATATTTCAATATACTAATAGCTTTATATCATATTTACTATATGCTCCAACTCTTATTTTTTTGTATTTTTGTATTATTTTATAATTCTTTTACTTAGATTTTTTGTTTTTTGTGAGGCTTTCGCTTCAATCCGCCTCGAG